TCACATTGCTTCCACTGAAGTCATGCTTGCCATGGTTTAACCCACTCAGCTAGTAGCCAACTCCACGCAGCCACTCACCTGCCCTCCCTGCTCCCAGGGATGGAGGAGAGAATTAAAGGGGTACAGGGAAAAGAGACTCGTGGGTTGAGATAAGAACAATTTAATAACCAAAATATAATAAAATTTAAAATAATGACCATGATAATAATAGTAATATATACAAATATATAAATGAGAGATACACAGTGCAACTGCTCACCACTTGGTGACCAGGGCCCAGCCCATTCCTGGCTAATGATCCTGGAGCCTGGAGAGTCCCAAAACCACACTCCTGGAAAAGAGAAGAGCCCGAGCATCCTAGAGCCAATCAAGAGTGAGAGGGAAGTTCCAGACAGAGCCTCATCTATATACTGTGCATGATGTGCATGACATGGAACAGACCATTGGCCAGTTTGGGTCTCCATCCTAAACCTAAGGTCAAATCCTAGGCTAGTAATTGGGGCTGTGCTCCCTCCCAGCTTCTCCTGGCCCTGCAGACACTGGCAGAGCAGAGAAGCTGAAAAGTCCTTGACTGTCCCAGCAGCAACTATAAACATCAGTCTGTTATCAGCCTTCTGCTCAGCACAAATACAAAACACAGCCTCACACTAGCTACGGTGAAGAAAGTTAACGCCATCACAGCTGAAACCAGAACACTGATGTTCTCCAGAACGGTAGGCTGCTTCACAGTATGTGCTGCTTGGAAGGGTTTCTTTCCAAGTCACAATAATAAAAACCCTTAAAAATAAAAAGTATATATTAATGTTGTATATAATGCCTTGAAAGATTAATACTGAAGAGAGTTTTATTCCTGCTCCTCCCTCTACCAAGACAGAGATGGTTTTATCTACAGACCTTGGTCACAACGGCAGTCAGTAACGATCCTAGAAAATGAAACTGTAGGAAGATTGATTTCTTGCGGAATGGAGTAATTTAATCTGTTAGCAACTCAACATCCTTGTTTTCACAGGCATCACTACTCTGCCATAGTAGTAGCAGACATATGTAGCAAGACATGTTGTTACATGTAATAATAAAAATTATCTGGATCTCATGTTGCCCTTTCGGTTACTTCAGTTTACACTTGCTGCACAAAGAGTAATGAGAGAAAAGAGCTCCTCAGATGACCAGACCATCCTTCTTCTCATAACACTGAAAACGCAGACATACGACACTCATGAATAATATGAAAGAAGAAAGTGAATGTGTCCTGTTTGCCAACAAACCTGCCCAACACAACCAGTGCCATCTCTTCTAGAGACTCGCAGATTCCCACCCAAGGCATCCATTGAACTGCAGTTTCCACACCCTTCTGCAGATCGAGCGTGTCTCTTCTGGATTGGAATGGATGCTTTGGATGTGATGTATTCATGCAAAAACAACTGTACAAATAGGGCTCATGTTGGGTTGGGGCTTTTGCTCTTATTTCTATCTGTCTTTCTTTCTTCACCCTTTTTTTGTTTTCTTCACACTTAATAAGCCAAGGGATTCAAAAAGACCAATCAAACCTCAGTTCTGTCCTAAATACTCGATTCTTCAAGTAGCCAGTCCTATTGCAACAGCTTTCATTTTAGCCTGACTTTCAAAGGAAACTGCGGCTATGCGGCTGTGCTGTCCATACAGAAGCACGCATACTTATACTACAAAATTCTTCTAGAACTTCTGAATTCAACTCATTTCAATTAAAGTGAGAGGTCAACAGCTTGAAAGAAATCAAGTTCCTACAAATTTGATGAAAACAGGTAGCAGAGAAGAAAAACGCTATTGATACTTTAATGACTGAGAGCACAAACAGTACCAGGCATTGGGGAACCCACCTGGGAGAGCACCATCATGAATGTCTCTTCTGCAAGAAAGGCTTCATGTGCACAATTGTTTAGAAAAAAGAAAGTCAATAGGAAATGGGGCTTTACTAACCATGCAGTTTGAAAAACGATTTATACCACAGTATCCACAAGAAAGCTAGCTTCTTATTTGTTAAACCATTTTTTCTTTGTGGATTTCTTTTTCCTTGCAATTGAATTGTCCGATTCTGATAGCTATATACACTTCACTAACTTTTCAGACATTGATATGCATTCTTTAACGACTCTCAGGAATTTTGACTTTGTCTCCTTGCATTTTGTTCTTCTGTGTCTGCTTCAGTTCCCTTGGAGGGTGGAACATCCACCACAGTGTGCATTTTAATAACTTCCACACCCCAGGGGCTCACAGGCTTGCCCATCTCTTTTTACAATACATGTAAACAAACCATGGGTTAACAGACAGTTGTAACGTCCTGCCAAAAGAACAACCTTTAAAAATATTGTTCACTTGTCTGAACACAAGACATCCTCCTACCCTTCAAAATAAGTGACTGATTGATGGGTAGGCAAAAACATTTGCTTTGACAGAATCAGACTGACATCCGTTTTCATGTTCTCTGCTGTCTGAACAGCATCAAGCTGATGAGATTTGTAATTCTCCTGAAGCACATCAAACTAAGCAAAAAAAACTTCAGTCCTTTCCTACACCGGACTTGTTGATTTGTTCAAAGCAAGTTAGTGAGTAGCAAACTCGCTTACATTGTATAAACTACTTTTTACAACTCCTGAAATACTGAAATCATCTAGCTTCTTACAACAACCTCACTTAGCAAGATGAGCACAGATCAGAAGAGTTCCAACTTATCCAGTTGTCATTTGCTCTTTACCTTTTTTTACTTTTTAAAATTGGCTGTTGCAGAATGCTAGCTCTGACCAAGAAGGCATCAGGCAATAACATTCAAGAAATTAAATGAGTTTATATCCAAGTGCAACTGGCAACTACTGACTCTACAAATGGCTTTTCTTATGCAGCTCATTGCAGTAGCTGTTGTAGTAGGGAGTAGTAGTTGGAGAATCTGGATCTAATCTTGCAAGAAGGACGACAACAACAGCATGCCTCAATTATTTTTGCAGTCACACACAATTAGAGATCACACAGTTAGGTACACTATTCAACCCAATTCCCCAAATCAACAGAAAGCATATGCAACTGATTTATATGCATGGTGTGTACAGCGCTGGCCAGCCTTTAATGGCCAAGATTGTGATACTGGTTGTGCTGAAGTACATTACTATTCTCCTTCCAGAAAATGGTGCATTTTAAAGTAAAGATCTGGCTGAGGACATAAAATCTATCTGGCAAAACCCTACAACATCTGCAGAGATACTGATTATGTTTTCTTACGCTGTACATGCAACGGCCTTTTCTTGGTTTTGATACTTGTCACATCTATCACTTAGTATAAGGACAGAGCCTCTGCGTCTTTTCAAGATTTTATACCCCACCGACACACAATTTTTCAACATAGATATTTTAGCTGAGAATAACTCAATTCTGAAAACTATAATTTAAAATACATGTTATTTTTATATTTCAAAGATACTTCTGCTTTATTCTTGTTTATAAAATCAAAATTCATCTCCACATACACTTAAACAGAAAATTCAATTTCCTTTCTCTCAGGAAGCCATTTCAAAATAATACAGAACAGATTTGTAAAACCTGTTTAACCCAATCTGTTTTCTCCTGTGCCTGAAGTACTATATGTGTTACACATGAGAGACTCACTAAGAAGAGCTTTTGCTACTATCTCATTAAATAAGCCTCGGTGCATAAAATAACATGCAACACACATATTTGAAACACTCTATATTTGGAAAATTACCAAACTCCTTACAATTCTCAAATAGTCTACAACCCTTTATGCATTTGACATCTCAAACAGTAAAACCTAAAAATCTTAATAGTTTGCTATACTTGCTTTTCTAGTGTACACACAGAGGTATGACCTCATGGTCTGAGTATGAAACTTGAAATCAAAATGTCTTAACACAATGATTTGCAAAACCACACTACGGGAACTAACTAAATTGTACCAGTCTTCCCCCAGTACAATGAGATAAATTAATTTACACTGAATTGATCAAATCTATTCAGTTAACAAAAAATACATGAGGCATTTGGGTTCTGGGAATGAGTTGTAGAGAGAAGTAAGGCACATGTTTAGATACACGCTAAAACCAAGTGAAATGGCATGGCTAGTTAATGACAAACTTAAAAATTTTTACTACAGGATAATTGATCTAGTCTTGCTAGAGAACAGCATCAGGTAAACAGAAACCAAAGGACATTAATAATTGTAAGTATACAATTCTCCCTAGGCAAACAGAACTTGCACAACGTAATCTGTAAAAATGATGTATATCATTTGTAACATTACACTGAAGCAAAACAAAGACTCGTGATTAAAAAAAAAAAATGTACAAGCTGGCCAACACCACTGACCCATCAAAAAAAAAATGCTAAAGGTAGGGAAATCTTAATAGAGAGTTATAACTTACCAGCTTCTAAAATGACAGAAGACTTGACAGAAGTCTTGAGAGACAGAAGACTGAAGTCTGTACATATACAGCTCTGACAGTTTAATTGAATCAAGGTATCTAAAGATGCACAGACAGTAAAACTAGATAAAGTCCAAAAAGGAATCTGTAAACTTTCAAAGAATATTACAACTGGCTTTATCTTAGCTTTCAATTTAAATTCTCCACTTGGGGTTTTTTATACATTTTAGAATAAAAACTAACATTCAAAAAGACAATTCTAAGCTTTTCGGGCCTCAGGTAACATCAACTTTTTCTTTAAATCAACAGTCTATCATTTATTGTCAAATAAATGGAGAAGGAAAAGTTAGCAGGTGAACACCTAACAGATAATAAGTATACACTGTCCTCACACACTCAAATATGTGCTTGCAATGCTTTTTACAGAAATATCTTCATATAAGCTTTCAAAGCAAAATTAATCATGCTTTCTGGCAGGACATTATGAAAAACCACTACCAGGAGAGACAAAAAACAAAACATTGATAAACAGGGTTTGCAAAACAGAGTCTAACTGGAAGACTATTATTTTAACATGACATCTTCCCAGTCTCTCATGCTTGTCATGCAATTATCACAACTTATTCCACGTTCCCTGGAAAAAGTTATCAATACATAAATGTCAAAAAAATATCAATGCTTAATGTATGAATTGCCACCGCCTTCTTGCAAAAGGATGGGTACTTCTGGCATTTTTGCAGAAAAGCTTTCAAGTCATTCGCCAAATTAGTCCTTTCATCTTCCATCAGCATCTGCAGTCAACTACTCCTTTGGTCAAAGAGTCCAGTGTTTTCTTTTAATTTTATTTTAAGAGAGGAGGCACAAACTCAGAGAAAAGAGTTGTAAGTCCTGCAGTTTCAAATTCCTTTTGTAGCTCATCCAGTGTTGAATATTCTTGGACTTCAAACGTCTGAAACCTACATTGTAAAAAGGAAACTCATTAATATGCTCAGATTTGTCAGAATGTAATTATCGATTCTGTTACTTTTCTATCCACAACAGTATTAAATTATACCTTTTATGCTGTGACTGTACTTTTGTCTCACACAGTACACTAATCATTTTCTCTTTGCATTTCTTTCCGCTTGAGTCCACATCTACCTTACAAGTTTTCTGAAGAATCAAGTACTCCTAAATGACAAAAAAGAACAAAGTATTAAATATCATCTAGTACCAAGTTTAGTAAAATTCAAAAATCTACATGAAACATCTAGAGTTTTTTCAGAATATAGCAATCAAACTTTGAAAGTGCCCATCCCAAAAAGCACAACTGTTTCTATTCATCAGCTTGAAGCTAAGTGCAGTCTTAACTGATCTAGAGACAATGAGTTTGAAAAGCCAAAACATTCTCCTCCAATATCACCACAAAAACCTGCCTAATGCAGTGGGAGTTCGTAAGTACAGACAAGAAGTTCAAAGCCCAGGCGTGCACTAGGAGCACGACGGGGTCTAAGTCAAGGAAAGGGACAGTTAGTAATGAGCTTGAGAGATACCTGCTATTAATTTCTCATCACAAATTTTCTGTTTTCTGGGGCATATGGAAAATACAGGAGACTAAACCTAGCCACTTTGCAATCAGGAAACACAGGGAACACCGGGGTATAATTAGAGTGGGAAGCAAAGCAATACAGGACATGGGTCTCCAGGTATCTCTTATCAACCAATTCTTTCTCACAGAATACCTTCTTTTTCTTAAATACAGAATAAAGTTGTTGGGCCTTCCTACTCTGCTAATGATCAATCTGCTTCCAAAATTGTTAAGCTTAGAAAAACACACACAAAATATTCAGACACATAGGTTTCAGTGGTAAATCGATAGAACTAGTCAACATTCATTGTTCCTGCACCTTAATGTTGCTCCTGTCACCCTGAAGAAGAATCAATATTATCTTGCCCACGAACATCAGTCTTCCAGTCAGCCTTAGATCTGAAGCCCATTTTTCCACAGTTTTGACGTATTTTGCCTTTGCTCTCATGTGATCTAAATGCAAAAGTAGCATCCAGATACCATCCTCTGTACTTATTCCTTTTGACAAAGTAGTTTTTTCATTGCAAACTGTTGCTGATTGCTTAATGACATATTTAAGATGCTGCTGTATCCAAAGAATCAGATCGTGTACCATAGGTTCAGAAAGATGCTTCTTTGCTTCTTCAAGTAATTTATCTTTCACGTCCATGCATTGGGCCCTTGTAAGCTGGTCTGAGCTAACAGAAATATCTGGTACAGTTGATGGATAATTGACTGGTAAATGAAATAACAGCTTTAAATGTACATCTGTATCCAGCAGTTCTTTCACGCTGATTTGAATTCTAAATGTGATTCCATGTGTCTCTGGAAAGTACAGAAAAAATGAACATCAATAGTTTGCCTGAAGTTGAAATACATATATATTATTAAGTCATGTTATTTTCTTTAACAATTCAACTCAAAAGCCATTCTATATAAAATAAGGAGTGTGGGGTTTTCTGTGGGGTGGGAAGTTGCAACCAAGAGCTCAAGCTATACTTGCAGGGAATCCTGAAATGAAACACTTCCATATCATACTAGAAAGAAAGTTATTAACACATTCTAAAAAGCATTCACACCTTTTGGCTCTTTCAAAGTCTAGACAAGCCAGTAATAAAGAATTGTCTCTCTTGGAAATACATAAGTCAGCTTCTACACCTCAATAGCAGCAGCAAGGACAACTGAATATAGAGACTTTTCTGGATGGACTCAGCACTGCCCTAACTTTGTTCACAGCGAAATCTGTAAGACTTCTAACATCAATACCAGCACAAGGCAAATAGACTTGTACCAAGTGTTGTTAAGGCAACCACTGAAAAGCAGTTCCACACTGCAGAGAGACTTGGAAAGAAAAGATTCTTTGTCCCCTACAACTTTCAGAGAAAATACGCTTAATTCTTTCCTGCCAACTTCTCTATATTTACACCAGTTGGACTGACATAATGAAACCATCTCTGCTGTACATCTGACCCTACATACTACATACATACATGTACATGCATATACGTACATACGTGTACATATCTGTGTATCTACTCAAAACATGTTGTTGATGTACTTTAGAACAGAATTATTTTCAGGATGGAAAGGATACATACAGTATGTGGCAGGAAGGGCAAAAGACCACATCCTCCTGATAAATTACATAATCAAAGATGCTGAATATGAAAGTCATGTACAGTAATTCCTGCAATAAAATCTTCTTGACTAAAACATGTTTCACAGAAAAATAATACAAAACTTCATAAAGTGAAAAGTGGAGACAAAGACCTAACCTACTTTTGCTCCTCTGCCATGAAGAAAGAGGGTACCAGATAAAAGATGATCTTCTTTAGATGTTCCCTGCTTCACCCCTTTGATTCATTCTAAACACTTCACCCCTTTTCTTTAAAAAAATTGCTAAAATGTCAGGTTGATTCATCCTACGAGGGCAGGAGAAGACAGATCTAAAAGGCAGATTAGAGCAGAGATGAGTTTCAGAGGAGCTCTTTTGAAGTGACTCGCCTTCTTCTCCCGCCACCTTATCTTACCTTCCTTTACATGACAGTCAGTTGAATTATGTTTGATTAGTATTCCTGACACCACTAACCAACCTCAGTGCTCTTTATGATTTTATATTTGAACCTTACTAAATAAGTGAAAGAACCTAAAAGTGACTTGGACAGACAGAAGCACTTCAGAGAGCTTAGCCAAGGGCATTTCCAAACCTCTTTCCTGGGTCACATGAAGAACTCTCTAGGTCAGAGCAGTCACAAAATAAAATAAGCAAATGCTCCAAACCCAATAATCAAACTCCAGCCTTACTATAAGGAAGTCTTCAAACACCTACAGACCATCACTACCTAAACAGAGTCAAATCCAGCGCTGAAATAGTGGATGCAAATCCAGTGAGTTAAACAAAATTACACCCCACCATCTCCATACCTACAGGCACTACGTGTTCCCTGACAACAAGAGCTGGACTCCAGTCTTCTAGGACCCTTTGAAAGGCTCCAGACTATTTTTAAGGCAAGTTTATTCCTCAGAAATACACTAGCCTTGGAAGAGACTCCAGTCTCCACAGTGTGCATCTGGCAGCACGTGGCCCTCACCCACGGGCAGCAGCCGTGCAGGAGGACCTCACGCCTTCCTACTCCCACCTCTGCCTTCTGCTGCCCCGACAAAGGTTTCTCACTTGGGATCAGCAACGACAGCTCCTCTGCCATTACACTAGGCTCAGTACACATAACCACGCACCTCCTGGGACCCCCAGCACCCTCTTGGTCACCGCAGAGGGTCCCCGCACCCGCCAGACCATCGCAGCACACGCAGACAGTGCCTGCCAGCCCACCTCACGCCAGCTGCCCCCACACAGGGCAGCCTCACCAGGCACGCAGCCAGCTGAAAGCAAGCTGCACTTGGCTGAACAGCATTAACGTTATTATATTCCTACCCATGAATCACTTTATTTTAAACTATGTCACCAAGAAATTTTAAAATGCACAGCCTGTAAGTGAGTTGAAGAATACTACCTATTGCCAGCTTAATTACAGTGACAGAAAAACATGTTACCTTTCCGATAATCCTCCCAGGATTTTTTCACTAGCTTGTCATAACAGATCTCACCAACTCAGGAGTAACTGAGGGATAAACAGACAGGTCAACCTGGCCCCTTCGGCAAGGGCCTCCTGCTGCAGTGATCATATTCGTAAGCCTGCAACAATCTCGCACCTTTCCCTGTGATGATGAACTAATCCGAAGGAAGCAGCGCAGCCTCGCATCCCAAGGTGTATCACCCTGAGCCATCGCGAAAAGCCCAGCTGTGCTCATTTACATCTGCTTCAGACTTACTTTTTAAAAGGAGAATCGGTTCAAAATGTTTCTGGGGCTACAGTGTCTAAAGTTTATTTAAACATTCCAGCGTCCATTTTCTGCACCAGCGCTGCAGACGGCTGGCAGAACAAAGAGCAAACCACCGTCGCCCAGCGTAACGAGGCTCCAAAGAAATATTTCCTTTGTTTGCACACGCTACAAGGTCTGAGTTGTCTTTACAGCAAAACGGTGATTATTTCTGAAATAAAAGGTTGGGCATCACCATCCTATTGGCATTTAATGTGCTAATAAGACTAAACTCAATACATTTTTAACTCATTTTCCCCCACAGCTGCATGCTTATCGGTGTATTTAGCTCCAGCATACTTCAGATTTTTTATGTTCCATGTCAACCAGACAGATATCCCCCTCCTCTCCTGCCCAAAGGCATTTTATGCAACACATGCAGTCTATTTTTAAATTCAGAAAATGGCACCTACTAAGGTACAAGCTTAGAATACATAAATATATTTTTATAGCAAGCTTGGTGAGCAAACCAGAAGAGAACAGATTAACAAGTAAATTATGGATTTCTACCTGTAACACTAATCTTTGTAAATAGATATGTAAGGTAAAAAAGATATGCTGTAATTAGTTCATTTAAATTCATCAACACATTGGTTTTGATAAAAACATATTTTACATTATGAATACTTCATTTTTAAATTCCAGAAAGCCAAAGTTTTTAGCATACCAAGGGATGTGCAAAAGCATACTCTTACAATACTCAAAACCGTAAATCCCTGATGGTCTCCTTTTTGATCCTGTGGATCTACACGCAAATTACTCTCAATGTATTAGAGACAGCATAACATAACAGTCTTACTGGAAGTTACTTCTGTGAACTGTTTGCCAATGACAGTTTATATGGTTTGATGAAATAAAGCAAAAGCAAGTTAATTAATACAGCAAAAGTTAATTGTATACAAACTAAAGGATTCTGTAGCTCCAAATAAAAGATATGTAAATTTCCAAAGTAAGAAAACTACCAATAAACATTGTTGCAAATAATATTTTCAATTCCAGTAGAAAACAATAGAAATCAAACAGATACCCATGATCCTAAGGTATCATGAACACAGCCTGGCTAAAGGCCCTGCAAGGTCATCTAACTTCAATACAAATACAATAGCCTGATCCTGCTGTGCACTCGTGGCACTTTATGTTCCAGGAAGGTTTCTAAGCGTTTTACATCCTGGTAACTTACAAACACAAAATCATTTTCCCGTATATGAAGCACAGAGAAGGATGTGTGTGTTACTTCTCTACCAGATTTGGAGGAACAGACATGCATATGCAACGTTCAGATACATTCACATTTTTTAAAACAAACATCTGTTAAGCCTGGATACTGTCTTTTCAAACTATGCCTGAAATAACATTTCTGAACTTTTTGACTTTAAGAAAATAAAACTCAGCCAAAACATTTAATCCACTGTATTTTAAAAATACAGCTCTAAGTACCAATCAGAAAAACAAAATGGCAGAACTACCTGCCTACACTGGGCCAAGAGGCGTGTCACACAGATCTAGACACAAAACAATTCTACTTTTAGATTACCCCAGTTAATTGTGCTCCATTCAGACATTAATATCTTCGTCCCCCTGAGGCCGCCTACACACAAAGTCCTCTTTTCAAGTAACCGCTTACTGTTCTGTGTGAATCTATTTCAACACTATTTTAAAATAAAAGCTTGAGGTTTATTCAATTAATTTCTTAGGAACTTTTAAGTTACAGTGAGTCACTCAAGGGCAGGCACATGCCATTTCACCCCAAAGCAGCAAAATGTTATTTCTACAGAATCACAGAACAGTTGAGGTTGGCAGGGACCTCTGGAGGTCACCTTGTCCAACCTTCCTGCTCAAGCAGAGCCACCTTCAGCAGGTTGCCCAGCACACCTCCCAGAGGGCTTTTGAGTATCTCCAAGGATGGAGATTCCCCAACCTCTCTGGGCAATCTGTTCCAGTGCTCAGTCACCCTCACAGTAAAAAAAGCGGTTCCTTATCAATCCCAGCTCTTTTGGCCTGAATACACACGCAGACAAAATCTGAAGGCAGGCTCCTGGATGCATTTCTAGCAGCATTCTCCAGGACTCACTGCAGCCCACCCAGCAGGAAGGTGCCTGATGGCTGTCACTGCGCCGGGGAGCTGGGCAGCACGCTGCCATAGCTCCCGGCACATCAGGGAACAGTAAGTGATACACAACACATGCATATTCCCTGTGTGTGTGTATATACACCTCCAGCAAACACAGAGGAGAGTTGTCACATCTCTGGTAGGCTCTAAGCAAAATTTACTTGTGCTCTGGATCTGAGCAGACATGCACCACTTGCACATCCCACCTGACACTTTCCTTAAGACTGATAGTAACTGCTGTCGTACACTGGAACTACTGAGATCTGTTCTCCCTTGCTGAAGGGGCATCTTCACAGCACTGTGACAGCACCGACTGACAGAAGCAATCTCTTAAAATCACGTTCCGATCAGCAGCCACCATGGCCGGTGTAGAAAACGTGGAGTAAAGGTGTCTACAGGTACCGCATCCCTAGCCTGCAGCACCCAGCAGCTGATGGGAGCCAGCACTACACATCTGCTCACCTTCCCACCTGCAGCAAACACCACAGGCGAGCCGCAGCACCCTGTGAAACCCACAGCCGCACGCGTATTGCTCTGAGAACACTCAGCACATCGGTACGGCCCAGGTTACTACCTGAACCCCAGAAAAACCCAGAGATGCCCCAAGGCTTCTTCTGCACAGCAACATCCCCACCCCTATTAGATCTCACAGGAGAAACACCCGCTCTGGCCACACCTGTGACACCTCACAACTGCTTGTGCACCTGAACAGCAGCCAGCCCCCTCCCACAGCTGCTCTCGCCTACTACAACCTTCCGCTCGCACCACAAGACACTCGCTAATTATCAACGAGTTCGACCCGCTGCG